TGAGAAAACAGAGTAAGTGAGTCCTAACGTATGGTACGCTGATTTTGGGTTGTTTGGTTGACGGTACCCCACTCCCAAAGCACTGAGGTACTCTGCGCAGTCCTCAAGGTGGCAGCCGTGGTGACCCCTGTAAAGTAGTCTGATGCACCAACAGAGTCGCAACACCAAAGATTTTGGTCGCATTCTGCACTCAGTGAAGGATTACACGATCTTCAATGTCCAAGGGTATTCTTACTTCGCTTTAGACAACTGCCAACCACAAATCAAAGTCATGATGGCCGATGGGAAGGGGAAATCGCGAGGTAAAAAACCCAAGCCTGAAAACCCAATATCCGCAGCCACTAGAGCTTGGCTCATCTCATTACCGCCACAAACTCAACCATGGCAAAGCCAAGACGAGCTTGAGACTCTCCTCAACCAGCACACACCCAAACGCTTCACAGTCTATGAGCCCATGCTGTTACTCCCTAGTGGAAGTTTCAGCAAGGGCTCATGGCCAATCATCCTCAACCACCCAGACGTCAGCGAAGATGAAATCCATCACCTGTGGGAAACAATCCTTCGAGACGTCTCCAAGACCGGCTCAACAACTCTGACGCATCTCGCCGTCAATGAAGGCATCCCTCTACAAACAGACACAGGTTCAGATGGTTCGGCTGTGGAAAAGAACGAGAACATTCTGCGAACACCAAGCGGGCTCAAGATCCTCCATGGCGACTTTGGCCCCTCCAATAACCCCGCCAACCCCTCGCCCCAAGATTTTGAGGGAGCTTTCTGGGTGTCGACTAAGCAAAACGGCATACATCAAACATGGGCTCCTCGATGGACCATGTTCAGCCGGGGTAACATCAAAGAGAAGACGCGCCTCCTCGACTTTCATAGCCAAGCCAGTCCAGACACCACGCTTCCTCGCCGTCAAGTACTAGCACCTGCTCTCAAGAACTATTGGGCGGTGGACATGTACGCAGGCATCGGCTACTTCACCTTCTCCTACGCAAAGCTGGGACTGAAGGTCGTCTGCTGGGAACTCAACCCTTGGAGCGTCGAAGCGCTCCGCCGCGGTGCCGTTGCCAATGGCTGGCGAGTCAAAGTCGTCCAAGGAAAAGACCTGAATCTACCAGCTGCACAACTCTTCACGGGCGACGAGCAAATCATAATCTTCCTCCAGGACAACCAGCAAGCCAGGCCCAGGATAGGCGATATGCGAGCGTCGGGCACGGCAGTCGACATCCTACATATCAACGGCGGCCTTCTCCCCACTAGCGAGCCTACGTGGCGACCGGCCTGGGACATCACCGCGGGGTGCGAGAACGACTGCTGGCTCCATCTCCACGAGAACGTCGGCGTCCACGAGATTGAATCGCGGCGCGCACAGATCCAACGCCTTTACGACGGTTGGGCGGAAACGGCAAACGGCGGCGGGCGAGCCGCGACGGTCGAGCATGTCGAATTAGTCAAGACGTACGCGCCCGATGTATGGCACTGCGTCTTTGATGTACATATTACAAGATCTAGTAGTGTTACATGATCGTTTCATGAATCTCTCTTTCTCGTCGACGTCGTCATATCCTGTCCTGCCTTATGTATTCATCAACCCCGGCCCCGGCCCAGAAGGATCCGAAGCGGCTATGACCGACGGAACTTTTGCGGAATGTTCTCCTCCACGACGGCCATGTGGTCGAGCTGCTCTTGCCTATCCTGCGCGTCCTCCATCGCCTCATGCTTCTTGAAATGTTCGATATCTTCGGGGTGCGTCAGGTCTTCGAGCTTGGTGTTTTCGTCATGATACCTAGATGAGGCGAGTTCCCATCAGCTCCTTATTCTTCCTCTATGTTGATTGGGACCGCAGCAAATGACTTACTTCTCCCAGTGGTGAATCTCGTACTCGTACTCGTCGTCACCGTGGTGTCCCGGACCCATGCCGACGTCGGGAAGCGTCTTGCCGCTGGCGATGAAGGCGTCCCACTCGGAGCGGTTGACGTTGCCGTCGTGGTTCGTATCAAGCAGCTCCATGAGGTCGTGGAGGATGTCGAAGCGCTTCTCCTCGGAGACGTGGTGATTCGTCTCGTCAAAGAGGCCGTATGTGCGGAGGATCTCGTCGCCTTGCCAGACGCCGTCGCTATTGTAGTCGTGCAGGGTGAAGAAGGAGGCCGAGTCCCAGCCTTCCATGTGGTGCTCCTCTGTAGATGGACGGAAGAATCAACAGTCAGCAAACCCAGTCGCGCATATACTTTTTCGGATATTTCTAGGATTCTGTAACTCTTGCATACCAGCCATGTGCTTCGTCATCCAATCGGCGTTTTCATCGACTATGGGTTTCTGGCTGTGGTCGCCGCCGCCGTGGGCGAGAGCGCGGCTGGCGAGTGCCAGAGCGGCGAGGTATACGGTGTGCATTGCGGGTATTATCGCTGGAGGTACTTGTCGGATTGGGAGTTTGCTTTCCGTGTTAACGAGATGGAGACGCAAGTTTGCTGATCGTTGACGACACGTGTAAAAATTGTAGACAAAAGGTCAGACACTCTTGAATGAGGTACACAATGGGAGCTAGGCGCCGCTGAAGTTGAACAAAGAGCCACCAATGGAAGGCTTTTGGGGGGCAGATCGATGGGTACGGTATCTAAGTACCTAACTCAAACCAAGGTTCAATTAAGAAAGAAAAAAAAGGCTGAAAAATAGCTAGGCCAAGGCGGGAACTTTGCGGTGTCGGATTGCTAAGGAGAACACGGTGGACTGGAATGGGGAATGGAGAACCAGGAACGGGGGAATGGGAATATTCACAGGAACAGGTGGCGTTCCGCCATGGCCAATTCAGGGGATTGCCTTCGGAGCCTCATACACTCCCACACTTCCGTCCCTTAGCCTTTAGGGAGCGGCAGACGCACAGATCGGCGATTGACAGGGGCCCGCGGGGGGGCCACGGGGCTTAAACATTCTAGACCCGGGGTCGCGGCGTGCCAATTAAGCTTGGGTGCCTCGGTGACGCAACAAACCCATTCTCAACACCACCTCAGCTCCCGAACCCTTTTCTTCTCCAGCTTGACACTTGACGCCAAGAACCAACTCCGACCTTGCCCGCCAGCATAGGAAGACAAGAGAAACGCAGCGAACACCAATTGAGACAGCCGCGCATAAAGCAGCGTGCCAAGAGTCTCAGGGCTGATATCCAGCTCCTACGCGCCTCGACGCGTCTTGCGCCAAAAGTTCTTCAGCCTATACAATCTCACTCCTCACAATGAATCGATCCATAGAACAAACGCTCCTCTCGCTGATGCCAACTCACGGCTCAGCTCTGCCGCCTTCCCTGGTAGAACTCGCGGGGTCCTTACTAGCACAGTCAAGACACCGAGCAAGCACATTAAAAGCAGACGAGGAAATCGGGCGGCTATACGCATGCGCTCACATCGCCTGCGATAGGTAAGCTAACACCCAAGCACAACCCCCTTCTGCTTGAGGGAGATACTAACACACGCACTCTGCCAGACTCAAAATCAGCCTAGACCTCCCCCCAATCGAACCCCGACCGCCAATTCCCCCTCGAATCTACAAGCGCCTCTACAGCCACCTCGATAACATCCTCCCCAACACAGCCCTCAACCGCACCCCAGGCAAGAACGGCACCCCGCGCAACAGGCAACGCCACGGCGTCGACTCCCCCGTCAGGACACCGCACCGCCCGACCCCGACAAAGGACAGATCCCTCGCGCAGTTTCGAACCGGCGGCAACTCGGTGGCAAACGGCAGCGTCCCCAACACCCCGACGAAATCCACAGGCAAAGTCGCCTACCCGTCCGACAAGTCGGGCCTCCACTTTTGGATCCAGCCGACGATCCGCCTCATGTGCAGGGAAACTAACCAGAAGCACCTGGCACCGACGATGCTGGCTGGCATGGAGTACGTCGTCGTCCCCGGCGGGCTGCGGACGCGTGACGCCTGGGTGCGGGAGAACCTGGCCGCGCTGTGCGGCGCCGTGTATTTCTTTGTGGCGCAGCAGGTCCGGAAGCTGGCGACGGGGGAGGATGTGGATCGGGAGAACTACGTCCCTGCACGGAAGCAGGTGCTGGAGCTTTTGGCCAAGGCGAGGGAGGAAGTTGATGCGCGCGGGTTGGACGAGGATGAGGCGTGGGAGGGGTGGGCGCCGGTCAAGAGCAAGGACTTTGATGCTGCGGTGAAGGAGGTCTCGGAGCGGGGATGGTTGGACGCGGATTGGTATCGTAGTTTGGGGGATGTGATTGAGGCGGGCCATGTGATTGCTGATAGCCATGGTCGGGGAGGGGATAATGCGGGTGCGTACAAGGCGCCTGTACGCGGGGCGGACACAATGTTTCTGGAGCGGTATGATTTCTTGAGCGAGAAGAAGCGCAGGGATTACAGAATATGGAAGGAGAGTATCCTGAGGAGGATAGACTTGATGGAGGAGGAAAATGGTGATGCCATGGAAGTAGATGGCTAGGGAAGGGGGGGGGGGTGGGGTGAGAAGGATGTCAAATACCACGACGAAGATCCAAGGGAAATGCCTAGACTGGGAGGCACTTTGTCATATGAGGCTGTTATTGTGATTAGCGGAGCCGGTCTACCGGACGCGGCGACGATAAGCTGGTCAGTTGGCGTTCGAAAGAGGCCATCAATCTATTCGATCACTGTTGCTGTGACTATCACGACCCTTTCGCGGAAGCCCTTCTACAACTCCATGGAGCACTGATGAAGCTCCCCAGGGGGCCACCCTACCCTCTCATTGTTCCCTAAAAGTCATGCCCATGTTGTTAGCCCATGTTATAGGACTGAAACTCTAGCTTCGATCGTCGGAGTGAACCCAACTCTCTCAAGCGTATCGTTCACGCGATTTTAACCTGGAATATCCAAAGTTCTCAATGGCAGCGCGAAGTACAGAGTGAAAACTTCAAATTCTATAAACGATATGTGCATGCTACTTCTTATTCAAACCATCGTCATGAGCATCATCACAAAGAACTTCTTCCCCCTTTCCCACCCCAGGCCAAGAATCACTGATCGTCCTCAAGCCCAACCATCTTCAAACTCTCAACCCACAACCTCTTCTCCGCCTCGGGGTCAAACGCCGCCGGCGCGTACCCCGGAGCAAGCATCCCAGCATCAGGCTTCATCGCCTCCGCCTCGGCACAATCCTCGAGGTACTTGCCGCCCTTGCCCTCCCACTCCTTGGCGACGGCAGCCCAGACGGAGGTGGCGGCCCCCTGCGCGGGGCTCTTCATGACCTTGTGGACGGCCGGGTCCTTGATCATCTCGGTGATCTCGGGCTGGTGGCGCTGGAGGGGCGTCTCGATGCCGCCCGGCATGAGGCTGAGGGCGTGGAGGCCGCGGGCGCCGTAGCGGCGGTCGAGCTCGTTGGCGAAGAGGATGTTGGCTAGCTTGGCCTGGCCGTAGCCCGCCCAGGGGTGGTACTCTACAGTGTGGTCAAAGTTGAAGTCTTCGAATTGGATGCGGCCGCCGCGGTGGCCCGAGGAGGAGACGGAGATGACGCGGGAGTTGAAGGTTGGTGTTGAGGAGGCGAGGAGGGTTGACTTGAGGAGCTGGAAGAGGAGGAAGTGGCCTGGATTTTGGGTGTTAGTGGAATTGGAGTCCCCTCTGTTGGCATTGTGAGTTGAAGTGCTTACCGAGGTGGTTTGTGCCGAATTGGGTTTCGAATCCGTCCACGGTCTTTCCCTTGGGGCAGGCCATGACTCCTGCTCGTTACATTAGCTCATGTTGAGACCCCTTTTCACCCGTCCCCTCCTCAAATATCACATACCAGCATTGTTCACAATGACATTCAGTTTGTCCGACTTTGCCAAGAACGCCTTGGCGCCCTCCCTCACGCTCTCGAGAGATCCGAGGTCCAACTTGATGACCTCCACCTTGCCGGGCTTGCCATCCGAGAGAATATCCTTGGCGACCTCCTCGCCCTTGGCAACGTCGCGGACGGTGATGTAGACGTCGGCGCCGGCGACGTGAAAGGCCCTAGCGGTTTCGGGGCCGAGGCCGCCGGGGGAGCAGCCGGTGACGATGACGACTTTATCGGTCCATTTTCCGACGAGGCCTTGGTCTTCAACAATTTGGACTCCCGTGGGGCGGCTGTCGTTGGGACCGGAGGTGTCCTTGTGTTGTTCGGCGTAGGGTGCGAGGATAGACATGGTTGCTTTTTTCGAGAGAAGGGTGTGTTTTTGTGATTTGTAGCTGTGGACTTATACGTCTTCTTCGTGATTGTGGAGTAGGTTGTTTGTTGAAGTTTATGGTTCTTCTGTGCGTTCTTGTTAATCTGATTGATGGTGATGATGATTATAATTCGAGGTGATGGGAGGTTTCGTCCAGTATTTATTTACTTCGTCAACCCCATGTCTTGAAGTTAGTTACATGACGATGTCTCATGGGGATGCGGCCGACGCGGCCGCACTGACCGCATGGGATGCGGAATGCCTGGAGCTAATGACCTTAAAGCCGCATTTGCTAGGGGAATTTCTGGATTTTAGAATTAAAGTTTAGTGGCATCGATGCCATCCCACCTTCTTTCAAGGTCCCGGTGGGATTGCTATTGATGCACCAGAAGTAGTTGTAGATTTTGTCTTCTGGAGAACCAAAAATTCATCGTGGCTCTTGGCTCACAACTTGGGAATAAGAGCATTGTTGAGCACTTCCCATACGGTTCTATGTAGTCGATACTTCCTAGCACCTTGTGTTCTGAGCCTGATACCCGTACTCCACGTTCCGTCGTTAGATAACGACCAAACATTTCAACAGCTAGGCTCTGTCGACTTGGCTGCAAGCTCCTGACGGACAGTCGTGCGGACAAAGGTCCGCATTACATAACAACCCGCGAGTCCGCAAATGTGGGCATCATTGCAGGATGCGGACAGAATTAAGACCGACGCGGGATTGAAGTTGACTAAGGTAAGGTACGAATACGTAATCAGGCCGGAATTAGGCGATAAGATGGCGATGACAACCTACCTTACGTAAGGCACATTAGAGGGAGTCTCAGAGGAGATATCCAGCAATGGAAGCACGTGATGGCGGGATTGAGGTCTCGGGGCAGACGGCACGTGCATCTCGACCCACACCTGCCTGAGAGGCATCAAGCACCTCATCACAAGCAAAATAACCTCGTCCATCCCATGTCCAGACCCAAGATGACGCATCGAGAGCCCGTGCCGCAGATTCAGTCTGATGATTAACAAGGTGCGCTGACAACCCGAGCCTGAGGTCCGGGACAGAGTCAGCAAGTCAGGTCCTGAAGTTCGAAACTCGGATCGATACCGAGGGCCGGTGTCGTCTGTGATTGGAACCCGGGGGCGGGCGGGCGGGCAGCTTTTGGGAAGCTCACCCCTGCTCCCCGCTCTTATGGACCCTACACCTTTTGAGGTTGTTCGTAAGTCCGGGGTGCCCAGGGCTGTGCAGGGCATGGCGAAGCTTCAGTGCCCCCAAATTTCCAGGGACCATGGAGCCATTCCCAAGGTAGCCTTCCAGGGTGGGTGAGCTGAGGAGCTATACGGATGATACGGATAGACCAAGCAGGTGAACAGCTTATACGTGCTTATGTACAGAGCGAAATTTTCTCGCCTAGACCGGAAGAGACCGGTAGCGGGATGAAGCTGAGGAAGACGAATACTGGTAATCCGAAAATAGAGCACGATGAGCAAGACATGTCGACTAGATTTTGTCGCTGTTCATGACATGCGAGTCGCGTCATGAAAAGATTGAAACACCACCGCGGCTGTTAATCTCCACGTTATTACAAGTGCTTACTCGGTTCATGACGTTACCAGCCAGGAAGCACCTTGGAAGTTGACAAGAGAAATGTCCTGGTCTTGGTGAATAATTTAGTACATTAAATGCGTGTGTTCAGATACGAAACTACATATCGATGAATAAGGTACCAGGGAGGATGGTATAGGTACGGCTTTGAGTTAGGTTGCTCATGTTGAAGGTGTTCGCCTAGAAATCCTCTATCACCAAACATGGGAAAATACAAAAATCGATGTCCAGTGCACTAGCAATAACCACGGCCTCAATCCCAAATACCGGGTATGCGAATACAGGAAATAGCCATCTGCTTCCCACTTTCCACATTCTGTTCTCGCTCCTACCCAGACAAGTGCCAAGGCTCTGCTCTCAGGCTGTCAGGGTAAGGTAGAGCTAGAACTTACACGAGACACTGCAATCGTGTTGGAGGCATTCCCCGCATCTTTCCAGTGCGCCAATCGTCCCAGCAATCATTCCCTAGTCCTTAAACCCCTACCCCTTCTAGGCTTCCAGGTAGGTAAGTATCTCTCCCTGAGTCTACTTCCTTGTGAGTATCTCTTCCTGGTCCCGGCCGCTAATTTGAGTCGAATCAAAACAGATGATCCAGAAAGCTTCGTTGGAAGACGCAATGTTGGCTCCCGTTCCCTCCGCCGTTGGACACCTGTTGGTCAAGGAACCGATCCAAACCAAAACATCCCCCCAGATTCCCGCTCAGACACCGTTATCCGACACGCAAGCCATCACGACGACTGACCCTCCAACTTGGACACCGGGCTCTGCTTTCCAAGTCCCATACTGCCACAGACGCACTCATCTCAAGTGTGGCTCAAAGGAAGAGGCAGTACCACCACGAAGCCCCCAAGTACACTCCTTGTACCGATCCTCTCATCTCTCTGCTGCTCACCCCCCTGGTAGACAACCCTCAGCTCAGCGGCTGAGCAGCATACTGCCCAATCACTACAAACATCGACACACCAGGGGAGAGTGAAGCGAATCCCACACAGAGCGCAAACTGCCGCCTTCGGAGCCTGATCCATTGCAGTGCAAAGCCCAGCATAGCAGCCAGCCAGTACTGCACGAATACCAACAGGGGACTTGCCATCTTACACCCATATCGACGTGCATTGGTGCACATGGGAAGCTAAGTGCACTCCCCAAACACCTCTTACACTCCGAGGAAGAGACGAACAACGAAGGGAAGAAAGGAAGAAAGGGCACAAGACAACGAGACAGCGGAAACAACGGCGGATCAGCAAAACAAAGTTGGCATAGACAGACCAAGGGCCGTGTGCAGTGCCCATCTCTACCCGCACAGCCCCCCGCCACATCGGGCCCCTCCACCAACAACCAGCCTCCCAGTCTACTACGTCTGTACGGATCCAATACGTCTGAGTACTCCGTACAGATACCTTACCTCGAGAAAGCTGTGGTGTCTACTCCGTCCACCCTCAAATCGCCAAGCTCAGTGTGCCACTTGCACAACTCCATTCGCAACCCACCACTCATCCCAGAGCTTCCCTGGCCCGATTTGACCGAGCGAGCCTCGCGTGTTGCTGCTTCCGTTGCGACCGCTGCTGCTGCTTATGCTTGTCTTGGGAAAATCGATGCAGAAGCGAGAATAAGCTGCATCAGCCCAGCTGCACCCACTCAGAACCTAGGTGCCCTGTTTAGCTGCTTCACCTTGCTGAGGTACACAAGTCGTGCGACCTTGTGGCCTGGGCTGAGAGGTCTTGCTTCTGCTGGTCACTGCTCTCGATTCTTCTTCTTTTCCACCCCCCATTTCCGCACTCTCTCCAACAACCGCCCGCCGGTCACATCTCCAGACTCCGGAACAGGGCGCCGCTTTCTCCAACCCCTCCGACCTGACTTTGCGCCAACTCCCATCAACGCCCATCTCGACGCTGGAACGCGCACTGCTAGCAGTACTCCCCACAGCGCCCGACCCGACGAAGCCAAACCCCAGGCTACCGGCCAACTGCGATCCGTTCATGTAATGCCGCCGCTTGGCCTTGCGCTCTGCTCTTGCTGTTGCACGTCCCCGATAGCTTGGACTCAACTGTCTGGACCCCACACCCACCAGGCGGCAACGCGCGCAGCGCCTAGGAAGCACGACTGCCGCCCACCGACACACATGAGAACCTCACCTCTATCATCCGCCCAACGCCATCACCACTTTCACGCCGACGAGAGACGAATTCTGGATACTCTGGCGATCCAGCCAGTATGGCCGCCTTCGTGAGGGTTTCTGGTCCGCCCAACAGCAGCTTTCTGGTCGGCTACCCGGGCATTTCTGCGACGCTAGTACGTTGGACCCTCTGTGATGACGTCGGGGAGGCTGATGTGGTCAAATTACCCTTTGCGCGCTGTTTGCTGACACGTTTCTTTGCTCGCAATATAGCCCCGAATCGAAGGCAAAGTCGAGATCCGTCCATCACAGGGCTATTCCATGCCCGTTTCCGTTTCGCTGGTGCGCATCTGTCTACAGCGGAGAGAAACAATACACCCCGCCGCCGAGAATGTTGCGAAGAGGCACCTGGGAACCCCGAGAAGGGAAACGACGGACGTAGTCGGCAAAGAGCTTCTGCTGTTCAGATGTCAATCAGGAAAGGATGCTGAGAGCGTCATTGCGATGGATCTGCCGTTCGTCCTGTTCATCCCGTTTGGAAGAGGTGGCGAAGAAACGAACCGACGAATACCCCCGGCATCATTGCAACTCCCCAGCCGAACGGCCGAGACGTACTACGAGCTTGTTGTTACCGTGCAACAAGGACACACCCTACAGAACAAATACTCCTTTCCTATACCACTCCAGCGATACGACACTTTGTCGACCTTCGGCATGTACAACAAGCCAGAGTCGAGGCAAGTCAGCGACGCAAGCGTTGTCACACTGGGCATCTCGGTCCCCAAATGGAGCTACGGCCCGCTAGACCCGATAACAGTCTATATAAAACTAGTACCCAATCCCGACTGGATGAAGAAAGCGTTGAAGGTTACGATTCAGAAGATCACCGTCACCATCGAGGAGGAGATCACGTACAACCCAGAAGGCGACGAGCCTACGAAGAAGGTCAACAAAGTTGCCAAGAACACGCAGTTGGTCAATACGAAAATGCCCGAGGCTGGATATGCAACAAATTTGGGCTTAGTGTTTCCCTCCAAGGACTTGCGCGATCCGGATGGCATCATTCGCAGAGGAAAACCGGCGTTTCCGCTCTATGAAGTTACTTCGTTCACGACGAGCTCAACCTTGTACAAGATTGAGTTTTATTTGACGGTCAAGGTACGTCTATCAGACTTTGCAATAACTTACCCATGCTCACAGACTTCACTAGGCGCAGCTAGGATCGACCAGAGATTTGACCGTCAGGCAGCCGCTAGTTATTTGTCCAATGGACCAGCAAGCGTGTAAAGAGGAAATGGACGCCATCGAACAGGCTGCAAAGGACGCCTCGCATGTAGACCCGAACAACCCTATGCTCCCTGCCCGGGCGATTGTTTTAGCGAACGACCGAGAGTCTCTCAAGACGTTGGGATTATGCCTGGTGGGAGGGCAGAAGAAACCGCTGATTGAATGAACGACTGGCCGAAATCGTACGGAGTAATTGTATGAATTGCGTGGCGGAAATCATGGCGCCGGGCTGCGGGGTACGAGACCAGCCAGTCGAGAGGGCTGGCGATCTACCCCGTAACAGCAAGCTTATATCTGATAGGGCTGGTTGGTTGCATACTTGCTTCTGCTTTCCAGTCACAGATTTTGCAAAGCTGTGGCCCCGTGACAAGGTCGACTGAGCCGGCGCAACTGTCGGAATTGAAGAAACCTGCTCAATGGATGGGAGGAGGCCAAAAAGGGAGACGGGATTGATGTGGTGGCGACCAATTCTGCGCCATGCATACGTACCTGGACGGGGGGACACGAGTTTTGGGAGGCAACGAATACCCCTCAATAGTTGGGTATTCTCGTGTCACAACCAAGGGGCCTGCTGTCGGCGTTTACACGGACGGCCCTGCGGTAATTCGACAGGACATGGCATCATCATCACGGCACGGCACGGCAAGGCAAAGGCGTTGGCGGGGGTCTCCCGGGTGAAGAAACACTCGAAAGAGCCGGTAAATTCAGGCTCCTTGTGCATTTTGGCGAAGCACGTTTGGATGGATGTGATTATCATGAGATGACGAAACTTGGACGAGGAGGCGATGTGTGTGTCTTGAGTTGAGTTGCCAAGGAGAGGGAGACTTTTTATTCGAAGTTGTACATATTACTCACGAATAAGAGACGTAAAGAGACAAGCAACTCGGGAGGTTGGATGATGAATCGAGGAGTACTCCCATTTGCAATATGCACTCGAAGTGAGCGTAGACTTCACTCACCCTTGCCAGGGACGAAAAGGGGCGATATAAAACAGCCAAGGTAAAACGCATTCTGAATGAATGAAATTGCCATTGAAGTAAAAAAAAAAAAAGAGTCTCCTGCTTTATGCGTTGAAACACTATGAATACACGTCCGCCCCTTCCCCCAAACATTCCTGCATCTGCGTTTCCTTATGGCTTCCGGTCTCTAACCCAGACCATAAAACACACCATACACCAATCATCCACCCGTAGTTAAAGTCTTCTCTTTTTTTGTTGGTTCTTTGATACATGCTTGATAAGAAGTGGAGTCAGATACACGCCTCTATCGGCCATATCGATCAGGTTGTCTCCCATAGCCATCTTGTGGACGCAGTTGACCGCGCTGGAGCATCTCCTGGTGTTGTATCTCCCGAGGATCCCGAGGATCTCGGGGGTCGCGGCTCATTTCGCGCATCTGCATCTCTCTAGGATCCGGAGGGTAAGGTCCCGGAGGCGGGCCACGTGAATCGTATCCTACGGGCGTGTAGCTCCGGGGTGGCATCTGGTCCCGGGGATCTCTAGGCGCGGGCGTCGATGCATACCGCGGCGGATACGCCTGTTGACCTTGAGGCGGCATTGGCTCTGGTGCGCGGGAGACGGGCGGGTAGCGACCTTGCATTGGGTGTTGGTGCTGAGGCGGGATCTGACCGTACATGGCCGAACCTCTCTCGTCTCGCATCGACATGTGGTGCCCCGGCGGCGGTTGTTGTTGTTGTTGCTGTTGAGGTGGTCCGGAAGCCCAGGATTGTTGCGGCATGGCCGAGCCCGTCGGAGGTGCCTTTTGCGCCGACATATGCGGAGAGGCCCAGTTTTGAGGAGGAGGTGCCTGCTGAGGCTGCTTAGTCGGCTGCGCATGTGACGCCGGTGGCCAAGAAGACTGCTGCTGCGGCGGTTGCGGCTGGCCCATGACGTGTCCCTGAGGTCCAGGAGCCCATGCCGATTCCCTGCCTTGCGGCGGGAGCGTTTCGCGTCTGGAAGCCGACTGATGTACGGCATACTGAGGCGGTGGCGAGCCAGCATGGGAAGCAGGTGCACCATACGCAGGGTACGTAGTCTGAGGTTGATAAGGATCTCTGGGGTCCCTGGGGTCACGCGGATCACGAGGATCACGAGACTGGGGCTGCGGCGGATAAGGCTGCGCTACCTGAGGAGAGTTCGTCGCTGGAGGCTGGTGGTACTGATGGCGGTAGTAGTCCCGCTCGACGGCTTGCGCCGCATCATGAGGAGATGCAATGGCTGATCTCGGGGCGCTAATGTGCTGCGACTGGGGCGAGGCAGTGTAAGTCGGCTTCAGAGGAGGCATCGCAGAAGCTGAGGGAGCATTCCGGCCATAGGGATAAGCTGCCTGAGGAGGCTCCCGCTCTGGCCGCAGGGGAGTCGGCGCCGGCGCGGCAACAGGTACTCTAGACATGCTTTGTGGTGGCGGCGTCGGGGATGGCTTGATTTGGGCCATGTCATTAACACGCTTGGGCTGAGGCGGGGGTGTAGGAGCGGCAGCAGCGGCAGCCGCTGGTGGGTCGTCGTTGAGCAACGACATGATGTTGGATCTCCTGTTCTCCGAAGCTGACGAGCGAGGCGGGGGCGCGGCCGCTGCTGGCGGCGGCTGTTGCTGCTGGGGAGGAGTGCCATAAGAGTCCATATGGGTGGGCATAGGTCGTTGAGCTGCAATGGGCCTTTGGCCAGGGGGTGTTGAGACAGACGGCTGAGGATCACCCAACAGTCGTCCACCTGGCTGAGGCATAGGCTGGCCGTAGCCTTGCGGGACTGGGGTAGCCGTTGCCCGCGGCGGCTCGGCAGGCTGTCTTGCCACAGGTGGTTCAGATCGAGGAGGCGGCACGTTGCGCACCGGTTGCTGACCATAAGAGAATGGCTCGTAATGATGCTGCGGCGGTGTCATCTCAGGCTCCTGCTTGAGGCGGGAACGTTCGGCCGGGCGTAGGTGTTCCTTGGCTTGTGCCTCGATCTTCTGCCTCTCCATCTGTTGCCTCTCCATTTGCTGTCGCTCAGCTTGCTGGCGCTCGATCTGCTGCCTCTCCATTTGCTGTCGCTCGATCTGCTGCCTTTCGATAGCTTCTCTCTCGAGCTGTTGGCGTTCGAATTGCTGTTGCTCGATGCGCTGGCGCTCAATCTGCTGGCGCTCAATCTGCTGCCTCTCAAGCTGTTGACGCTCCATCTGTTGCCTCTCGATTTGTTGCCTCTCAATTTGCTGCCTTTCCAGTTGCTGTCGCTCGACCTGCTGTTGCTCTATACGCTGCCGCTCAAGCTGTTGTCTCTCCAACTGCTGTCTCTCAATTTGCTGCTGCTGCTCAATGGCTTGTCTCTCCATCTCACGTCGCCTCTCGGCCTGTTGTCGGTCAACCAGCGGGTCAGGCTGCACAGACTGCACAGGTTGTGCGGCAGCCAAAGGCCGCTGCTGAGCGGGCTCGGTGACTGGGGCCGTAGGTGGCTTTTGCGAAATCCTGACTGGTTGAGGGGGTTGGGTCGACTCGCGTTCTCTCTCCTGGAAGCCAAAGGCCTGCTGAGGAGGTGCTCGGGGTGGACGAGCAACCGGCGACCCTGACTGTGATACTGGCTGGGCAGCTGGTTGTTGCTGAGCAGGGACTGGCGCCTGTTGAGGAGCTTGAGGAGGGGCCTGGGTGGCAACCACGGCAGGCGGAGGAGCTTGAGCAAGGGGCTGTGGCGGTTGCGGTTGCTGTTGCTGTTGCGCTGCCGGCGTCGGTGGTGCCGGCGTAATCGGCATCGCAAAGCGACCAAAGGGTGGTGCTCCAGGTTGTTGGACAGGAGGCTCGACCTTTGTCACAGGAGGTTCGCTCGGCGGTTCGGATGCAGTCGTCGGGGCGGGAGTGGCAGGCGCGGAAGCAAGGGGTCGATGTGACGAAGCCCCAGGCGTTGAATCGTATTTCTTGCGTCCACCGACAGTGGGCGGTGGTGGATCTGGTAGCTTCTCACCTCTGCTTCGTTTCGCGTCAGCCTCGGCAGCGAATTGCTCCCACTCAGTCTTGCCCTGGTCTCTCTGTCTGACGAAGTAGTTCTTGACCATGACAGCTGTCTTCGAACCCATATGGCCCGCAATAGCTACCCAGTCAGTACCGAAAGACTTGAGTAGCCCAGGGAAATCATTTGCTTCAGACACACTCCAGTAGCTGGACGCCTGACTGGGGGCACGACGTTCGGGTTGCGGCTGAGCAATATCGAAAGTCGCAACGGTCGGTTGCGCGGGAGGTGGTGGTGGCTCGGGCCGTAGTGATGGAGGCGCCATGACTTCGGATATCGGTGAAGGGGTGATGGGAACAGGGCGCTCCTGGACAACCAGAGGGGGCTGTTGTTGTTGAGTTGGAATCAGAGGAGGCTGAACGCCGGTAACCGGGGCCTCAAATTGCGAGGGCAGACGGTTCTCCATAGGCACAGGCGGAGGCGGCTGGAACTCAGTGTTCTGAACTCTAGAGTTCGAGCGAGACCTTCCTTTGCCTGTAGCGGGCGTGGGTGCTGCTGCAAGAGTCTGCTGTGATTTAGGCGCCTTCGGCTCCTTGTCTTTGGCTGCCCTCCGTCCGCGCTTCCTACCGTCGACCTTTTCGGGATCAGCCTTGGCTCCGCGCCGTCCAGGTGTACCGGTTGGTGTGGCGTTGTCGGAATCCGTAGGCGGTTGCTCGAAGCCCCATGTCGGGGCAGCAGCACGACGTGGACGTCTCCTTTCTCCGTTTTCGCCGTTCTCTTGGTTCTCCTCTCCCTCATTTTCGGCGTTGCCCAGCTCCGAGACAAGCGCGCTTGAGCGGGTCTTACCTCTACCCTTCTTTCTACGCTTGGGTTGCTTTCTAAGCTTCTCCTTGAGGTTGAGATCCTTCTTCATCAGATAGTAGTACTGAATACAGGTACCGAAGTTGCGCTTAGGTACGTTTTCAGCGACGACTCCCCATTGCTTCGGGTTCGTGAGATATCTCTTCTCGAAGAGGTCTGCTTCTTCGGGGGTGAAGTTGTTGATTGGCGGCATAATCTGCCAGGCAGGTACAAGCTTCTCCACAGGCGTGAAACCGGTGGTGTCCTTGAAGAATTCGTTGTCCCGGTCCTCCTGTCTCCAGTACATCTCGGGAATGACGGCTTCTTTCTCACTGCGATACTTCTCTTGCATGGCGCGTTGTTCCCTCTCTTTCCGTTCTTCGTCTTCCCTCATGGATGCTTGCAAAACTCT